GGCTGTGTCATTGAATGATGAAATTCAGAAAATATATCTTTCTGAGGCATCTTTCTGACTTGAACTCCATTTTTTAATCTTACATAGGAAATATTTGATTGATGTCTCTTATCTAGTCTTACATGACATGTCATATTTAGTAATTTGTGCTTCTCTTTATATATGTCTCCTTCAAGATTCATAAAAGTCATCCAGTGTTGTCAACAACACTAACAGGTGAAGACATCATGGATAGCTATTGTCATCCATTGAGATGTTGTATGATTGGTTATATTTATTGGGGTTGTATAATGTTGAGTTTTTCAATGATTGTGATTTAAATTCAAATAGTCACAATCGTAGTTGCTTTCTATCTAGCTGAATAAGCTTTGGTGTTGGCGGGTTCTTTGGTTACGTTAATGTCTCTTGAAGCTAGGGAATTGGGTTAGAGAAATTAAAAAAAAAAAAATCAGAGAATCTCAAAAAGTTTGAAATTATGAAAGCAAATGTAATTTTCAAATTTTTTTGTGTCCTTAAATAGAAATATTAAATGCAAAGCTACCTTTTTTGTGATCTTGGAGTTCTCTCTTGGTGGTTGTTATTCGTCATATTCTTGAGAAGGATTAGTGACCATATGACACTCCTATAATATGGGCTATTTGCTTTCTCTTTTTCAAAATTTCTATGGAATAGTACAACCAAAATTTAATGATCTATAAATTCTTCTCAATCTTAGATTTTTTCTAATTGAGTGTGTTTGTTCTGGCGAAATTAGGAAGTAACTTACTGACCAGATGACACTCCTATAATATGGGTCGTTCCATTCTCCTTTCCAAAATTGCTGTGGAATAGTATAACCAAAATTTAATGATCTATAAACTCTCCTTGACCGTGGGTTTTTCTCAATTGAGTGTGTTTGTTCTGATGAAATTAGAGAGTAACTTATAAATGGTTTTATTCTCTTCATTTCTTGGGTAACCACAATTGCGATATGTAGAATGAATTTTCTTCGTCAGGTCTTATGCTGTCTAGTTTGAACTTACAGTAGCTTTCTAGAGTGCTTGTAATCAAGATTCTAGTTATGCTAACTGATCCAAAGTTTTGTTTAGGCTTGCTTATTGAAATCAAAGGCTTCATATTGACTCTAGAAAGGGTGATGAAGCCAAGTGTGGAATCCAAGCCCTTGATATTGAATGTGTAATTTTATCAGGAAGAAGTTCTTATGCATTTATGATATAATTATTATGTAGCCATTAAAGCTCTCTAATGTTGTATTTTATATTGCTTACTATGCTTTAACTAAAATGACTTTACTCGCAACAATATGAACTAAAATGACATTACTAGGGGTGAGGAAGGGAGAAGGAGGAAAGAGGAAGAAAAATAGAGGTAGAAGGAGGCTATGGTGGAAGAGGAGGAAAAGAAGATGAGAACACTTGGCGGTGGTTGCACAAAGAGCAAAACAGGCTTGTGAGGAGACACGAACCTTAGAAGGAGAACCAGTTCAAGTAATTTTAAAAGAAAAAATGGTTTGATTCGGGTCTTCGAAAAGGGAAAACGGGCCTAGCATTTTTTTTAAAAAAAAGGTAAAAAACCATACCATACAACCTAAAATGAGGTAGTCCACGTCTTAAATCGTGCCCGGACAGTCATTATCAATCAAACTGACTAACATTGAAATCAATGAAAATTGTGTTGTGTCTCAGTTTCTGATGTAATTCATTACTTTCTGAGTTACTTTCTGCCATTTGGTAAAAAGTGGGAAAGATAAGTTAATTTCTGCCATTTAAATGTATTTTATAAATGTAATGAAATCTTCTAGCTCACCATTTTAGAGAAAGAGTAATGCATAGTTGGTAGAAATTTTCTGCCAAGATTTCTTTCAAGTCGAGTATATCTCAATTAAGACATATTTTTATGATGTTTGATGATATCTATCATTTGTTGTCTATATCTAATTATCTTATACTTTCATTCAGATTTGTCGATGATATTTCTTTAATGTCGAAAACGATAGAAAACTTCACAAGCATGGATAGTTTTAGTATCTGAATAGTGTAAGTTATAAAAACTCCAATGCATTATATTCAAATAGTATCCTTGTCTTTTAATTGTCTTTTGCATGGATTTAAATAGTGTGCTTCTTTTGTAGTACCTTCGACTATGGATTGGTTTCAGACCATACGGTCCGACGCTAGTTTGTTTTGTTTTTTCTATTATCTTTTCAGGTGATATCAGGTATGACCCAATATATTAGTACCATGCTGGTCTCATAGAATATTGAAACTGATATTAGAGAGAGATTGTAGGCCTTGTTGTGTATATTTATTTTATTTCAGGAGTAATTCTGATGCATCTTTGATTTGAATTAACCTTATTTCTGGTAACGTATGGAATGTTACTTCTAGATGATTGTGTAACTTAGAGAAGGCACTTGGTGGGGACGTTAGGATGTATGATAGAACTACTCTCATTGTCAGTATCTTCAACCAAAAGGGTGCAAAATTCATGAAGCAACCTTACAAGCAAGTGCCCACTAGGCTTTTTTCAATTTTAGCTATTTTAGATTTCATGGGAGCCAATGTCATGTCACTAAACATGCATTTGTTATTCATTTTTAGTTTTTGACTTCCCTGCATTAGATGTTATTGTTGCTTGTTTCATTATACCTTAGCAACCTAAAAGTTAGGGATGCAATCCTAGAGACACATTATATGTAATCCAAGTTACAAATATTGTATATATTATTGCAGAACTCTTAGGGTCTGCTGAAATAGAAGTTGCATTTGACCACAACAGCAAACATGATGACGGATAACTCAATTTCTGATAGTTTGAGAAATTTTGAACATTTGTTTTTTAATATTACAGTATGGCTCTTTAAGTCAAGTCGTTGATGGTTTGAGCAATTTAATTATTTCCTTTCATATAAATTTTTATCTAAAAGATTCTCTTCCAATCTCTTGGTAATTTCTTACTTTCCATTTATTTTCTTTTAATACGCTTGTTAATGAAGTTATCTCTTGATCTTCGAAGGCCTTCCCTTATGAAGAAAGTCATCAAATCATTTTCTATTATGATCATCTGTGCTAACTAGTTCATATATGGATTAGAAAATTGAACAAAAGGTGCACAAAAAATGGTATTGTCATACAAGGTCTGATTTGTGTGATTTAACAGGAAGTAAAGCCATGTACTTGGACATACTTATTTCCATTTCTACAATTGTCATTTTCAAATTCCTACTAAGTTTTTCAGGTTTTATCTTATTTAAAAGAAAGATTTAGTTTTTATTCTCTCTCTTGTAAGGAGAATATCCGTACAAATGTTTTTAACACCGCCGATGTCGGTCCCAAGCCCGAATGAAAAAGGTGGAGGGTTGTGGAAGGCCGCTAAGAAGCAGCTTGAAAAACATTTGAGAACTCATATGCATGATCTTAACTGTTTCGTAATAAACCTAGGTCATCATTGAGATTAGATGTGAGATAAGATTGTCTGGAAGAAAACTATGATATTATCAGCTGGGACTAATCATTTGCTCACGAGACATGAGACATCTGGTCTAAGGGCAAACCCTATGTATCTGAGAGGAAAA